TCCATTAAGGTCCCATTTCGTTAGAGGTGGCCCTATGGGATGTGAAAGTGATGCTAATCCGTCTGGCTGGATGAAAGAAGACACCTTTATGAAGTACGTTAAACATTTCGTGAAACATGTTAAACCTAGAAAAGAAAAACGTGTACTTTTGTTGTTGGATAACCATGACCCTCACCTATCCATTGAAGCGTTGGATTACTTTAAAACTAATGAGGTGACAGTTTTATCATTCCCTCCAGATTGTAGCCACAAGCTGCAACCTCTTGACAGATCTGTGTACCGACCATTGAAAAAGTATTTCAACCGAGCATGTGACAACTGGCTGGCTAGTGACCTGGGAAAGACTATCACAATTTATGAAATACCGGAGCTGTTTAAAACGTTACTACCATTGGCTGCTACAATTGAAAATATTCAATCAGGATTCGGAGTATCCGGGATTTCACCATTGAATGAAAACATTTTTCCTGACTCCGAATTTAGTGGTTTTTATGTGACCGATAGGCCAATGCTCACTTCCCCTGATGGTGATAATCCTTCAGCATGTGATGTGAGCACAGTCAGTGTCTGTTTCATCGACTTCCGATGCATCTAACAGGTTTTGTCTATCGTCGAAGAGGTTCCAATTCCTGGTCACCATACAATAACTCTGGCAACCGCAATGTTGATCTGTTAATACATACCAGATTACTACCACAACACCCTCTCCTACAAGATCATTGAGGACTGAATGTGAGTCGCCTTCTTTTTGACGAAACAGTTAATTCTGTATTTTAACCAGAACTGAGAGAACACCTCAAAACACCAGAAAACGTACATTCTGCAGAAGCAAATGTGCCCCCATCTTTACACAATCTAAACCTTTCCTCAACTTCATCAGCAACATTTGAAGATCTAAGACCGTAAAAGTACTATATTTACCGACACCCCGGAAAAACTAAATCTTTTAGATATGAAAAACAAACGAGAAACATATAAGAAGAGAAAAACAGATACGAAGGACAGAATAGAAAAAGGAAAAGGGAGGGGCAAAGGAACCGAAAAGGGCCAAGGAAAACGAAAAAGGAACGGGTAAAGTTGATGAGATTGCTAATGACACACACCGTCGATGAAAATGACGGTAATGCTGTAGATTCAGATGACAAGAGTACGATTTGTTTAGAGTGCACTGAATCCTACGTCGCTAGGGTTCCAGGCGATCAATGGATTTAGTGCATAGCTTGTAAGTTATGGGCTCATTCAAAATGTGTAAGAGGTGGTCTAATGTTTTGTGAATGCAAACATTGCGCCTCTGATATTGAAGACATATATTATAAGATATACAGGAACTAGTAAATGTTTAAATAAAAACTAGGAGTTGATAGTTTTGTTAAAGACTTATTGTAAGACAATGTCTATAACTGATTCAAATTGTTTTTGAATAAAAAGTTCCGTTAAATTATAAAAAAAAATTTCATAACTTGACTCTTCTCATAATTTGTTACTTATTGATACGTAAGTCTACTTACTCCGGGCATATAGTCAATCTACCCCGGAGCGGGGGTAAATTGACTAAGAATTGGTGTTCTGTAAAATGCGTTAAATTATGATCATTATATTGAATATTGGACTAGTCTTTATATTTTTTTATAAGTTCAATAGTTCTTCTATCCATTGATGCAGTTTTATTGTCTGTATGTATAAAAGCACAAGAAATATGTATAATCTTGTAAAAAAACTAGTCAACCATCCCCTGTCGCCCCATATAATCATAATAATAATAATAATAATAATAACGCCTTTATTCATATTTTGTACATGTGAGGGACAAAGATAGCGAAGTTTAGCTTGAGCTACTCTTACACTTAACTACCTTTGTCTGTACTTTAAGCACGATGTTGTGTGCAATTCCAAAAAAAGAGAAAAAAAATATATAAGAAACACTAAGGAATACAGAAGGGTAAAATAACTAATCAACTAAACTAAAGTACACTACAACTATATACACTATGTACACGTATGCCTAAACAGCTCAGAAAATCAGTTATATAAATATCAGGGAAGAGTGAGCATAAATTGCTTGATTTGCCTTCGAAAACTAACTAGCAAAAGACATTTCCCTGTACTTTCTGGGCAAAGCATTGTAAAATACGGCAGCATTATACGAGAAACAACGCTTGAAGAGTGTCATAGAGTGTGGAGATATCCTGACCATAATACGGTCCCTGGTAATCCTGTCATGAATTTCTCGATTAAATATGATCTTTTCTCTCAGGTATGCAGGTCTTAACGCAGCTATCAACTTGTGCAAAAACACTAAGTATTTGCACCGCACATGTTTATCAATTCTTAGCCATTTCATTTGGCTGTATTTGTCACTAACATGGTCAAATCTCCTCAATACATGAATAAAGCGAATGCAATTGTTTTGAATTATTTGAAGCCAGGTTTTCATCCGTTCATCAAGACATGGTTAATATAAAATATCACAATAACTGAGAATTGGCAACACAAAAGACTCACAAAGTTTTTTTCTCAGTTTAAAGTTCAGTAGATGGCGATTGGCATATAACGCTCTCATTCGACCATACGTTTTTTTAGCTAAGGACATAACATGCTCCCTAAATCTCAATTTGCTATCTACTTCAACGCCTAAAATTGTAGCTGAATTAGCAATCTGCAGCAGCGAGCCATCAAGGTTAACTTTAAATGTATTCTCCACGTCACTTCTCCTTGCGTCGGAACAAAATAGTAATATCCGAGTCTTATCTGGATTAATGTTTAGATTATGGTCACTTGAATATTTTTGCACTTTGCTCAGATCCTGCTCTAATAAGTCAGCAGCATCCTGCAAACAAGAGGCGTCAAAATAATGAATGAGTTGAGTGTCATCAGCAAAGCTTATTAAATCGGAATGTGCGACAGATCTGTGCAAATCAAAAGTGTATATGAGAAATAATACAGGGCCTAGTATGGAGCCCTGAGGGATTCCTGATGGTATCATACTGACTTCTGATAGCCTGCTGCCTACAGAAACGCACTCCATACGGTGTGAGAGGTAGTTTTTGAAGAATTGGATAGCTATATTGTCAAATCGAATGTACTTTAACTTAAAAAGTAAAAGCACATGGTTAATTTTGTCGAATGCTTTGGAGTAGTCAATTGAAACTAGGGAAACCGCCATTTTTTGTCCATAGCTCATATATAACGTTGTCGCACAGATTTAATAATTCAGGGGTTGTGCTGTGATATTTCCTAAATCCAGATTGATTTAAAGGAATTATAATAATAATATTTATTCACTCAATGTACAAAGATAACAAACAATATGGGTAAATAAATATAAAATCAAAACAGGCCCAATAGAAGGCATCGCCTGTACATGGACCAATAAATTTAAGTTGAAACTGTAGAATGCAAATGACAAAAAAGGACAAAAATTAGCTACAGTAGATTATGTATTTAGTTGATGTTCGTATTTATGAGTTTATGAATTTCAGTCCTAGATATAGAATGTAGCCACTTTTTTAAATTTCTTTTGAAACAATTTCCGAAACGTAAATCTTTTAAGTCTTTAGGTATAATTTCATAAAATTTAGGCGCTAAATAGAGATATGATCGCTGCATTATAGATTTATGCGGTTGAGGAACTACTGTGCCACGTATTTTGTACCTGGTATAATGATTATGTTTAATTTTTTGGTCGGTGTTTACAAATTTATGGTAGTGAGTGATACTGTGTATTATACTCAATAAAAGACTCTACTTGTAACTGAACTGCTTTTTCCAGTATTTTTGACAACACAGGCAACAAACTTATGGGTCTTAGATGAGTAACATCAGTAGGTTTATTGTTTTTTGGCGTTGGTAAGATCAATGCATTCTTCCAGGCTTTGGGAAACAAGCCTCTTTCAATGCAAGTGTTAACTATGTGTACAATATGATAAAATATTATTGGTAAACTAACTTTGATCATTGTAATTGACAGCGTATCAAGGCCTTTAGCGTCTGATTTTAGACCTTTTACTATATCAAAGATCACTTGAGGACTCAAGATACTCAAAGAAAAAGAATTAGACGGATTTAGTTTATTGCTTCTATAAAACTCGCACACATTTCCCGGCACACTGTCAACACTATAAACAGACATGAAATACCTGTTTATCAGATTAACATCGCTGATGTTATCAGGCAAAGTATATTTGTTACAAGACTTTATATTAAGTTTATTTATGCCTGACCAAATCTTCCTCGATTCATTTTGCTCAGAAAGTACTGCCAGATATTCTTTTTTTGCCTTTCGAATATCAATATGGACTTTATTTATAATGCGACGATAGTTTTCATAATTAATTGCATATATCAAAAAAAATATATTTCACCTGCTACCGACTGAAAGACTTGTCTACCAGTGCAAGGGACATTGCTTATATTAAAATTTTATATAGACAAAATGGTGGACTTCAGTAGAAAGATTCAGCCATGAAATTTCTATTTCACGGACTATATCTTAAACAGCTGGATGTATTTTGACGTATGAGATACCGGACTCGTCTTAGTTTGAGTGTCGGTGACTATATTAAATTTTTACATAAACAAAATGGCTGGGATGTGTCCCTAGATTTGATCTTGACTAGTCAAGATACACTGTATACCAAAATTTCGTAAAATTAAAATGGTCGATATAAAAATCCAATCTTGAAATTTTGATTTCTCGGGCTACAGACCAACCAGCTTGGCAGATTATGACATTTTAATAACAATAATAACAATCGGCCTTATTTATAACGATACATTATAAATAGGCAAAGTTTATCCTTGTGCCTCGGCTATTATTTCACTTAGACCTTTGACGTGTCCTTACAATTGAAAATTCACTACTTGCTGCTGTCAGATTGTATTAATTAAAAATATACTTGGTTTTTTTAAATTGTTTTGTATCTTCATTCCCTGGATTAACAGTCGTACGCGTATATCGGAATGCCGAGTTTATGGAACAATAAAAAATAATTAAGCGCTAGTGGTTTCGGAGCACTCGACACACATCGAATCGCACAGTTGACTAGATAAGATAACATATCGATTGGTATCTTCTCAATTGGTAAAGTTCCGAGTGCTGCTTAATAGCCTTTTCAAATCTCCATCTTCTAAATTGACGCTGATTGCTCGGCTTGTGTCCTGTTATCGAATTAACTTCATTTATCGTTTGTGTTGAAATGGAGCATACGGTCAGTACTTTTCGGAACTACTTCAAAAAGAAAGAGACCGAAGTTGGTACCAAGAGCCCCGTGCCTCAGATCGGATTTAGGATATCGTTTTGTGAGAGCAGCAAGGAACTGAGTATTAAGGTGATTGGTGCTAGGCAGCTACCTACGGATTATGCTGGAATGAGACCTACGGGATACTTAGTCAAGGTATGTGTCACTAACAAAACATTAGATGCGTAAGTATGATCATTTTATCAAGCTTATCAAACCTCGTTTTTGGATATGGCTTATTTATAGAGCTATTCAGTATGTGGATGATACTTTGTGGGTGCATCAACAAGTCATTTATTTTGACACATTTATTGAAGATGCTACAAAATGTATCAAGAAAGTGTGGCTAAGTACACTACTCTTTAACAGATTTTGAGGATGAGCAAGGATACAAAAGCAAAATTAGGAAATGCAACGAAACTGTTCTATGATTTAAATAGCAAAAGCTGTGGCCGCAGTAGTAGACTATTCGGTCTCCTGATCAGTCGCCGTGCGCTGTGCGGGTTCGAGTCCCGTCCCAAGAGAAACTGTTCTCTTGGCTATGGATATTCCGATTGTCCGTAGGTGGTAGATGGTCTGTGACTGTTGAACGCAGAGGTAGCACCTGGCGGATCTCGTAGGCAGGTCCAGAATGTGTGCATGTTGCATGCACACGTGTTCCCTCGACGTCCGTGTGGCGTTCCCCCTTTCCCCTGTATCCCCCTATAGCCCCAGGGTACCCCATGCGTGTTCAGGCATTCGTGGGAGTTGAGTATAGAAAAAAAGTGCATCTATGCTGTCTCAATAAACGTTTCGACCGGAAACACTCCAACGTACATATATTATTCCCATTTTGCTAAAAAGGAAATAGAATGCACTAATAACTGACCATGAGTATCAAGTTTATATGTTTTCATTCACGTCGCCATTATACATCATAAAAGTCTACATGATACAGAGAGTTCATAGTTATTGTATGCAAAATTTTATTCATTATTTCTTTATGATTATTGATGTGCTGGTTAACTATGTATTCAATTCTATAAGACACGAAGCATTCTTAAAATCTCATAATCTTTTTAGGGTTCAGTTAATATTATAGATTTCACTCAGCCATACGGCTTAGTGTACATCTCCACTGTCAGATATTCCATAATTTTGAAGGAACTACAATACTCTGCACCAGCCTTCCCCGCATACCTTAAATTTGGCAAGTAGGTAGTCCTTCTATCTGTCAGAGCAAAACAAACGAAAATAACTAGCTTTGCAGATCCTTCACAGTTTCATCAAAGGAGGCTTGATAATATCACGCTTATTTTCTATAAATGTGTGCTAAATGCCGAGCTACTTTTTGTAACTACTCGTAGAGCTTTTGCGACCATGAAACCTGAAGACTCCTCCGACATTCCCGTGGAGTATTTCCAACTACTTTGGTGCATATTTGGCACCCACAGGGAGTCATTATTTTGTCAAAGTAGTGTAGGGGAGAATGGTACACAATGACACAATTTCTGAAATATCCACGGACAAACCTTGATGATTTGTTTTTTAAAAAAATCATTCCGTGTGTCTTTTTCCTTACTCAATTGCGAATAAGGTCCAATATGTAATAATAAGAAAATGAAAGAAACTAAAGAAAAAAATGAAAAATTTCTTTGGTCTGCATTTGTATCAATGTGTACCACTAGTGGTACAGTTTGAAACATATGGTAGTACACAATAAAACACGTTGGAGATTATTACGAATCTATCAGAATCAAACAATATTTATTTTTTGTAGGTCAACGTACAATTATCTTGTTAAATTCTAACCCAAATCTATAATAAGAAGAAAGTCTTTTGTAGCTGGTTTTATGGGTTCTGATAATAACATAACAAAATCGGATTTCAACCCCATATGAGTATCAGGAACACATCTAAAATTTTGGCAACATAATGGATATTATTTTCAAATTTCACCAAGACGAAAGAATCTTTCAAAATATAAATGCTTTCAGTAATTTCATAAGATTCCAAGTTATTTTTCTGTTGCTGCATCATGCTATATTTAAGGTCTTCTAATGATAATTGCTCGTCGGAAGAGTACTTCAACTCCAAATTATTATCTTCTGATTCTGAATATGTTTCATTTAAGATCTTTTTTCATTTTTATTTTCTTTGTTTTATCATTTCTGTTCAAACTCCCTGATATATTTATGTTCACCTTCTCAACTGCAGCCGTGTTTGGAGTTTTTCTTTCTTCTGTTTTATAAGAAAAATTTTTCATTTCTGGTGTGCTAGTTAGAATAATGCTCTTCTTTGTTTTTCGTTTCCTATTTAAATTCTTTCTAGGTGCAGCTTTTGGAAATCCTCGCAGCTCAAATATAGTAACAAAATGACCTTTCAATACAGATAAGTTTTTCTTATTCATAGTTAATTTATTTATTTCTGTTTGTTTGTTACCATATAAACCAACAGATTCCGTTCCAAAAATTGAGTTTTCCTCTTCCTCATCTAATTTGCGATTCAAAGTTTGCATTGTACCAGATGAACCTGCGCTGGACGCAAAGGCAACATTTGAACGTGAAGGGTTGTCTTGACTGACAGGTGAAGCTTCGTTTCCACGGGTGCCATCTCGTATTTCAACTGTTGCTTTTTTGTGCCCAGATTCTCCGAGTCAATTTGTTCCCTGTCGGTAACAGACGACGATAAAAAATCACAATCCGTAAAAATGTTTTTATTAAAAGGATAGATGCATGTTCCTCTAAACCCATTCATTATATTTTCTGGACGCATAGATTTGGTGTGGGCAATACCGAAACATTTCGATATTTGATACAACTTCATAGGAACAGCCGGATGGTTGAGGAGCCCTAATCAATTGCATAGTTATAAAAGTTTTTGAATGAAAAGAACACAGACTAATCTAGAGCCTGAAGCTTGTTGCTGGTATGTGGGGGAAGGGCTAAAATTATCACACCATTCGCTTTCGCTTTCGCAGGAGATATGGGATTCATGATTGTCATATATTAATAAAGAAGGATTTTGTTTTATCGTACCAGAATGCTTCAAAAAATGATCAAAAACTTGAATGAACAACTCAGCGGTCATCCAGCCACTCGGATTGGTTAATCCCAATGTTTCAGGTGGTGCCCTACTTAAAACGATGTTAAACTTTTTACGGGGAAAAACAATGGCTGACGGCAAAAACGTTCCATTTGCTCGAATTATTGCACAAGTGGTAGCTAGCAAACCTGTTTCGGCACTTGTACCTTACGTGGGCGCTGGACACGGTTGTCGTGGACGTTTCATCCAAGTTATATATGCGGATATCTTGAAGAACTGACGGAAGTTGCTTATATATTTCTTCTCTAAGTGTGAGAAAAATCTGACCACGTTGGGTTTGGTAAAAGAAGTAGGCCTGGACAACGAACATGCTTTAGGCATTCTCAAGCTTAAAGTTGGGTTTTGTTTTACAAATGCTCGTAACCAGTCATTGCTCGCACATTTGTTGATTTTCCACAGGTTGGGGATAGGTATGTTATTCCTAACGGCCATCTCATACGCTAGCTCTCTAACTTTCAAGGTATTTAATCCAAATGCCATCTTGCTACATGTCTTATGATAATCACACAACATGGCATCTGGCTCTGGATTAAATATTAATATTACAGCATAATTTGGCTCCATTTTAGCACCGAGATTGTTACTTTCTTTTAAAACATATCGCCCTAGCGTTGAGAAGTTGATGTTGAATATATCTGCAGCAATGCGAAGTGAAACTCCATTATTTTTAACTTCTTGGACTGCTAACGTCATTTGTTGGCTTGTAAATTTAGCTCTTGATCGTTCTTTCTTCTTCCTCACGATTATAAAACTGTAAAAAATAAGCTGGTATAGAATGACACTCTTAGGTACACAATGAAACAGCGAGATACACAATGATACATGTATCATTGTGTACCACCAACATGAGTCATTCTTAAATTCGTTATAAATGGCTAACCTAAGTAACATTGATTTCAATTATTTATAGGTTAAGATACACATAAGAGTAGTAATTGAATGCATATTAAATAAGAACAAAAACTATTAAAATGTTAGCAACATACATTTTTAAAGTCACTCACGATTTTAAAATTTAAGCACCAAAAATAAGAAAATTTTCGACACGTCTTAATTCGTCGAAAGTCTGGGACACTCTACCGGTGACAAAAGTAATACTTTAAATGTCGTCCGCGTGAGCGCTGGTGGAGTTCTGGCTGCAAATTTAAACCAGATAAATAACATGTTTCATTGTGTACCATGTGTTATTGTGTACCACTCTCCCCTAGTAGTGTTGTAAAATGTTCTCAATTAGCTTTTTTTACACGAAGATCCCCTTTAACAAATGTGTATATTCTCAGATCCAAAATTACGTCAAAAGTGCTTGAACAGTTTTATAAACATATACCAAAAATTGATGTTTGGTTCGGGACAAAGTTTTCTTCTGAATAAAAAAGGTTTTTATCAACTTTCCTCTAAGGCTGCTGGTTCTCAAGATATAAGAGAATTAATATTTGAGGAAGTGCAAAACATCCCATTTTCGGTACTTAAATAGATTGACTCTTTACTTCGAAACGCGGATTTGTTTTTTTTTTAATTAATCAGATTGCAGGAATGAGCGTGTCTGTACCGTGTACCTCATTTTTTGGAGCTCTGATGTAAAACTATGTGTCAACAATATTTAATTCCTCACGAAGTCAAGTAACCTCACTAAATTACACTGTGTACGAGTACAAACAAAATATATACTAAGTGACATATAAATCCGAACACCTAGTTTAAATGGTTTTATTTTAATAAGATTTTGTATAAGTTCTTAATGAAGCATAATAAGTAAATGATTAAAATTTCAAAATGATTGCACTGCTTTAAAGCCCTTTGACCTTTAATAATGTGTGGATGCACCCTGATGTGCTACGCATTCTCCAACGCGCCTAGGCATGCTTCTGATCAGCTGGTCAATGTCCTCCTGTGGTATCTCATTCCAGGCAACCACCAACTCCTCTCGGAGTGCTTCTAGAGTCTGACGAGGACGTTGCAAATTCAGCAATCTCCTACCCACCATATCCCACACGTGCTCAATTGGGGATAAGTCGGGAGATCTTGGTGGCCATGGTAACAATGTGACATCATTATGTTGAAAGAAGTCTACTGTGACTCTTGCAACATGTGGTCGGGCATTATCTTGTTGGAAAGTTGGATCTGCCAGGGTGTCAAGATAGGGTAAAAGATGGGGATCTAGAACTTCGTGGATATAACGCTGCGCGTTCATGTTACCTCTGATGAAGATTAAAGGTGACCTGGAACCATAAGCTATAGCACCCCAAGCCATAACTCCAACAGTGTGATGAACATGTCTTTCAACAAAAAACTGTGGATTCCTCCTTTCACCATGTCGCCTTCTAACACTGGCACGACCATCGTGCATGCCTAAACAAAATCGAGACTCGTCACTAAAGACAATACTGTTCCATTCCTGATCCCAGAGTGACTGTTGTCTGCACCACTCAAGGCGATTACGTCGGTGTTCTCGAGTTAAAGGGAGGACCCAGTGTGGCCGGTGTGAAAACAAGCCAAAACTTCTCATTCGTCGGTAAACACTTCGCATGCCAATAGGTCTTCCGTGTTCTGCAAACTATTCATTTGCAATGGACCTGGTAGTGGAGAAACGGTCCCTTAAGGCCAATAATCTTAGGCGGCGATCTTCACGGTCTGTTGTTCTATTCCGGCGTCCAGTGCCCCTTGCTCTTTGCGTACGGCCTTCTCGAAGCCATGCCTGACAACACCTAACCACAGTGTCTACACTTCTTTGCACTCTAACTGCAATTGCCCGAAAAGAAAGTCCAGCTTCCCGAAGTCCCACTATACGACCCCTATCAAACTCACTAAGTTGACGAAATCGTACAGGTCTCCGTACTCTAGGCATCGTAACCGATCGTAAAGGATGTCAAGAACCAAAATCCGCCAACGTTGATTCTTTACTGCGGCTGAAATATTCATTTTTGGAGCGTTAGTGAATTAAAAAAGCAGCATAAAAACCGGAATGTCCAACTGATAAGGCTGAAAATTTTTTCGGTTGTTATTTACAGTAAGGTAAATACATTCACCAACTTTTATTAAAATAAAACCATTTAAACTGGGTGTTCTGATTTATATGTCACTTAGTATATATGATAATACGGAAAGTGCGACCGATAGGTATGCGATCCGTCAGCTGAAAATATATGCTTTAAGATCAAATCTACAGCGAAATCTATGATGCGTAGACTTACGGGGGCTGGAAGTTTAATTAACATAGAACCATCAAAAAGATTGAGATACGCCGTACAATTAAAAAAATTTCCATAAATGCCCCAACTAGCAAAGTAGTGGTATAAGCTTTTGGTAAAAGAACCGTTCAGCCATAAAAGCTCTCTATTGTTGTTGCCTGAACTCCAGAATGCTGGCTTGATGTTGTGTGGAATGCAAATTTGCACTCTGCAACATATTTGCTCTAAAGTGAGGTGTTTAAAATATTCTTATAGCATAGTTATACAACACCTTATAGGGCAAATTTTCAACTGTTGCATAAACGTTTATTCAACTATTTTATACTGCATATTTGCACGTTAGTCAAAATGGTTGTGTTGTGGCATCCATGGTAACGTTTATAAAACAAACCGCAGCCTTGTTGTTTTGCTGTGCAATTTACTACTTTAGCCAACAAATTGCTCCAAACGGAAGCACTTATACAACTGTTGTTTAGTAACTGTTAAAGGCTGTACATTATGTTAAATATGTTGGTATACAACTTCATTTTCTGCTGTCATATTTTTGTTAAAATGCCATTACCACTGCTTTAAGACAAACAACGCATGCATATTGGTACAAAATGTTTTATCAACTGTTCAAACAGAAGGTATAGTCTGGTACAAATTCTGGGTGAATCATTCGACTCTGTCGGTATTTCATTTCAGACATTTGTCAAATTGTTGTATAACACCTGCAGGCAACATCAAAATATTCTAATAACCTAAAGACAACATGGACGATGCCATGATTATACACAACCACCGGCCATATTGGGCAAACATTTATTCCTCTATTTAATATTAAATAATTATGTATCAGTTCGAAGTTGCAGATATAAAGTGTTAAACATTAGTGTAATTGTGTCTAAATATAGGATTTGTGGAAGATTTAACGCAAATAAGTTCAGTTTTCCATCTTAAAAATCCAGACATACTTTTGATCATTATCAAATACGAAGCCCGTATTAATTGCGTATTTAATTTGCACGATAATCGCAATAAAATTTGCTGCGCAAGTAATTCAATAGCCCTATATCACAGTGTAGAAGCTTATCATATACCTGTGTATGAAATTCACAATGGCCGATATGTAAGTAAACAAGATGACTGTAATGTGTTAGATATATATCCTTCTTCGTCTATACAATACATAAGAAATAGTTTGGTTGCAATAAAGTAGAATCACGTAACAGAATAGTTGTATAGTTGACAAAAACTGAATCTTGCACTGATGCAAATGTCCTATTGCAGCTGCAAGAGGCTGACACTTTTGTTGTATGTACCTGTATAACTGTTACCTGCAGCCCTTGTACAACCTCTTAAATGACTGAAGTGTCCTATTAGGTGTGCCCATTCCGCTTGTGTAGCAGTTCTAAGAGGGTTTTGCTAATGTTCTTACAGTATACAATGCTGTTTAAGGAATACTGTATAATCATTCTTGCAACCCTAATAGGAGTGATAATTGTTAGTTGATGATCATGATCTTCTGAAACCTCAAAAGCTGAAGTTAGAATGATTTTTGTTTTGTCGTTTTTGACCACTCTTTCGTCCTTGGCATAGTAGTAACCTTGTGTGAAAATGTCATCCAAACCCAACTAGCAGATACCTTCCCGTTTAGGATTAGCACTCAGGCCGATAGACAGATAGATCGATAAATAGATAGACCGTCAGACCGACACAGACCTACAGACAGAACGATGGAAATGAGTGACATGGTTCTTCATCGTGTATGAGTACATGTCATATAGGATCCAAAAAACATATGTCCTTTTTGAAATTTTTCTCGACTACAATACTTCCTCCGCCAGCGACGCGTGGGAAGTAAAAAACAATATGAAACAAATTAAACCTTCAATGTTGAAAAAACTCCCAGATACTCCATTAACAAAATCCCAAAACATCTTAGGAGCGATTGTTATTAAAGTTTTGTTTTTCAATTGTTGATCAAGCGACGGCTCAATGTGTATTCCGCGTGACCGAGAGAGATGTACAGTTGATGGTTACCCATATGCATTGCGATTTCATTAAAAGATATTTAAGAATGTTGGCGACATTAAAATATTAGTTTCTTCATAACGTTTCTTGGGAAAGGCACATTTTTTGAATATTAAATCGAAATATATCAACTTCAGAGTCTATGGGAGGTTTATGAGAACCTTTTTTTATTCAAAATGACCTGAAAACCTGAAAAAAACATAGTCTATTGCGAAAAATAAATATTTGGTATTTGTTTGAAAAACTATTTGAACAATGTTTTGCGCAATACAAGGTGGGATACAAAGAAACTTCCTGAAGCTCTTAGGCTGTATGAAATACCGCAGGCTGTGTGCTATCTTATAAGGAAGAGATCAGCTTAACTGGTGACACTCACATCGACTCATTTACTGTATAAGCCTTAGCTAGAAACTAGCTCAAATTCAAAATACGTATGTGTCACATCGTGTAACTATTTTGAAGTACAAGGAAACCAAGATTATGTAGATAAAATCCGCGATACACTTGTTATTTTATGTTTTTATTGCCTTCCGAATGATGCTGATATCACAGATTAATTTGGGAGATAATTTTCATTATCATTCTCATATTAGTTTCTTTTCTCTGTCAGATATGTATTGTCTGAATTCTATAAACAAGATGATACGAATATTTTAGTCAAATTTCACAGCTTCAACTTGCAACTCCAGTTGCAAAACATTAGTTACGCCGTGGTCTGGCCGAGGTAAATATAAGCTTTCTGTATGTAGATCAAATGTTTTTAGGTGACATTTTACCCAATGAAAGAAAAATTCGAAACAAAAATAGCTAAAGACAGTTGGCCTACCATAAACGAAGAATTCAAATTCAACCTAATTCTGCCTTCAAAACCTTCAGATGACTTTCTCAAGGGCACGTTTGCGTCATTCACTGTATATGCTGTTATGGGTAAAGAAGAAGACGAGGAAACAGATCAAGGAGCTAAAAGACTGCCCCTCAAGAGGTGAGTTGTAAGCTTCCATTAGAAAGCTACCGAATTCTAGCGTTATTGAATAGGGTCACTAACCATATTCTACCAGAAGAGCCTTGGCTACGCAAAAATGATCATACCTACCGTGGTACTAGCAACCATTTATGCTTACAACTACTATGGTTACTGTCGTTTCGAAACTCTCGGTACATGAAATCTTAGAAGCAATCACAAGATAGGTTAAGACGCAATCTTTTCCTGGAAGGTTGCTGTCATGTTTAACAATAAACCTTTCGACCACCAGGATGGCCTTTTTGAAACTTCAGTGACAATGACAATGTAATTTCTATTCATCTGTCTTCCACATGAAAGTACATTCGTTTTTTCCGGTCTCTGCTACAGTGCCTTGCAAAAGCAGCCTGAATGGACCTAGCTCGTGCGAAGCCATCATACAATTTTAAGATGGCACGTCGAAAAAAAAACGTGTAAAACCAGCAAAGTCCAGGATCACGCCTGAAGTAGACAGTCCCGCTTCCGAAAGACGCCCTACCACAACAAAAGGGACAAGCGAGCATAAGGTTATCAGTTATTTTTTGTTCCAGCCTCTATTATCGCCCAAAGAACGTTAAGCAACTTTGAGAACGCGAAAACCCATGGACAGCTGGTATTTTCTTTATTCAAAACGTAAAACATTTCACGTCACTCAGCGAAAACAGCCACTGCTCCTCAGCGAACGCAAAAGCAATATATAGATATGTGGTTTAAGTTAGGCAGAATATCGTGTCCTATAAGGAAAATGGAGTCTGCTTTTATTTTTATCACTTGTACAGCATACAAGTATGGCTGGGCAACTTCTTGAAAAAATAATTTCCTCTCAGATGCCCGTTTGAACCACTGTTGAGTCAACCCTTTATAACAATTAATTCCGCACTAACAAGACTGGAAGGCAGAAACTGAAAATAAACTTCTGAAATTTAGAGGGAGAGTTCTATAAAGAATGAAATTCTCACGGCTCTCATGTGTGTTGATTAATCAGTGACAGTAGCTAATAATAGTTAAATTTACTCAACTACATTAATTTGTCGTCCTGCTGCTTATTATGTCATTTCCAGTTAATTTAATGAGATTGTTTTATACGAACAACTAACCACCTTCTAAATTAATGTTTACAACACATTTTCTAAAGTGACTTCTCTTGTTTAACTGTTTATGTCTCACATTCAGGTATTTGTCTTTCAATGACACAATGGACGAAATCATGGTCAGAACGAGAAGTAGCTTTAGGAAACCGAACTCAAGACGAAGATGTAGTCAAAACGCTGTAAACAATCGGAGAATTATAGGAACAGTAACATATAATCTTGACAAGAAATCCTTCACACAAAGGCTGAGAAGCAATATTGTGAGCACCCCTGATATATGGAGGAACGTGTCTGAGATTACCAGCGGATTCCAAACGCAACCGGTAAGGATTTAATAGCATCTTGTAAACGAGCATGAAATTACTTTAACGAAAAAATTACTTCGTCCTGTTTATGATGCGTTTTACGAAAAACTTGATTGGCAGAGAGTTAACTCTCTTTCATCATCAGAATATCGTCAAATCGATTGTAAACTGGCAAAGGTTATAGACAAGGATTGTAGCCAAATCTCAGTGTTTGAAAGGCAATAAATATTCAAGCAGGAATATAATAATACAATCAGTTGGATATAGAGGAGTATATACAGTAAAGTGAACCCCCATTTTGTAATCCATATATGAAAAACAGCTAAAAGCACGTCTTAAAAGCAGATAACGTACATTTTGTAATATTAAGCACCGTTTGCTCTACACATTAATAAATTGTTGGAAGTTTTTACTAACGAAGTAGTTTCCAAACGCCTTACATACGAGTATGTAACCAAAGATGCAAGATATGTATATTTGAAACAGATTCATGTTTTTAATTCCCTAGCGGCATTCAAGGAAATATATAATCTTATATGCAAATATCCAGATGGATGGTATTCTCTAATGTCGAATGGTCAATGTCGCATGCTAAAATAATAATAAATATTGTTTTTATTTATAATAACATTACAGGTGTCGAGATGCTATAGTTATTCTACCACCTAACCCCCTTAACAGTACGAGATGTATAAAATATAAAAAAGTATTAAAAATTAATATCTGTATAAAATAATGACAATAATAAAGCGTAATTAATTCAAAGGCACAAATAAAACATAAGGTCACATTTCACACATTTCTAAAACCAACCTTTTATGTAGTAGACGATAAGACGAACTGAAAATTTAAAAATGTTTTTGTCCGATTGTAGATATTTAAACGATAAAGAAGCTCCTTCATCGAAAATTTTTAAATAAAAGCACGTTACGTTTTGACAGCAGGATGAAACAAGGGTGCGACACGCGTTATCCTTCAAATATTCCCAACCGGAAAAAGTATTTTCAAAGTCCTTAATAGAAGCTTGCTTTTAAAAGGTTCTGTTTGTTTTATTAACTAGCTTATCCTAGGAGCAGTGACTTTATAAAATATAATAAAACACATTTCTAAAACCAACCTTTTATGTAGTAGATGATAAGACGAACCGAAAATTTAAAAATATTTTTGTCCGATTGGAAATATTTAAACGATAAAGAAGCTAATTCATCTAAAATTTTTAAATAAAAGTAGGTTACGTTTTGACAGCAGGATGAAACAAGGGTGCGACACGCGTTATCGTTCAAATATTCCCAACCGGAAAAAGTATTTACAAAGTTCTTAATAGAAGCTTGCTTTTAAAAGGTTTTTTTTTTATTTTATTAATTAGCATATCCTAGAAGCAATGACTTTATGAAATATACAAGTCTCAAAGTTGTTTTTCTTCTAAGAAGTACCGTGCGGAATGCCTTTTCATGATGAATAAGATTCTAATGAGATTTCACAACTGGTTAGACTACACATTGATATTGTTTTTAGTTTCTACATATCAGGTACAATTTTAGAGAGATGGAGTCAAAGGATGTGTAGAACTGACGCTTCAATATGGTATCAGCGAAGACGGTACCAATGATGTGGTAGAAGTAAGCATAACTAAATTCCGATGCAGCTTGCAAACGATGAGGCAGCATGAAAAAGTTGGTGGTAAGTTATGATTCTTTCTGCTTGTCGCTGATGGCACACTTCCGTCGGTCTGTAATAAAGTAGGAATTTAGGAAAAACAGAAAATTATTATTGTAATATAGTTAGAAATAACCAGTCTATATCCCTATGTCTTAAATATAGTTCTATACTCATTTTCTACAAATTGGTTTGTTTGGAAGTAATTGGATCCATGGGCATCTTAGGAGGAGGAATCATCAGCAAGACATACTTTGTCGTCAAAGTGTACCTGCCCCCAAAACTTTTTGAAGAACGTGGGCTAAAAACATTCCCAGGGGGCATGCAATCCTGAAAATCCTCAAAATTGTATACAATATCATGCTAAATATGCAGATTTCAAGGTCCAACCGGAGCGGCCTCCTGCGCTGGCCACGGCCCTCTTTAACCCCCCTGCAGGCGCCCATGACTGGAATGCTGTACCGCCTAGGTCAGCATAATGCCTAAATCATTGTAGGTGTACATTTTTCACGAGTATCTGCAAAAATGCACAAACTGCATTCTCTACGTGCACTAGATTTTCGACAGCCACGCTCTCCTTACGGACAGTATTGGTCTTCCCTCGGACAATTTAAGCTTCTGTCTCCAGTGCTTTGACCCCCAACCATACAAGTCCTGCGTAGCGGGAGGGACATCGGACATCGCTGTTATTGGTTACGTTCAGTTGCACCTGTGGTTGCACTGATCTGCTAGGAACTAGCACTCTGTGAAGTACGGCTGAGCTCTGTTGCATAATATTGCTCACTATTGCCTATATCTGCTGACAACTATACTATAACTATCTAAAACTGTAATGACTCATCGATGTTCACGTGAACATCACTTAACTACCAGTAGTCGGCTGTTCATAGGCGGGGTATGAATGTTTAACATGGGTGAACTAGATTTGTCACATGCTTAATAAAGAGTGGTTTCAAACATATTGTAAGTCAAAAATTTGGGAATTACCTTTATTCATCGTCGCTTTCACTTACATCTGACAGTAATAAACTGTCGCTATCGCTTTCCCCGTTGAAATTGACTATAACTGGCTCTATGATGGTGTCGATGTGGTGGTCAAGCTGCCACATTTTTGTTTCTTCCTTCACAACATGACGGATAGCATTCTGCCAAGCTTCGGGCGTTACTAGCTGTATGGAAGTCTCAAGTAAAACCTTTACGTCTGGTAGTTTGAAGGTTGTGTTATGGCGCGCACTATAACCCTTCACTTGAGCCCAGATGAGCTCTATTGGGTTCAGTTCACAGTGGTAGGGCGGTAACCGCAGCACAGTGACACCACATTGACGGGGCATCTCATCAGTCACGTAACTAATGTTCGCAGGTTTGTGCTGTTTAATTTTTTCATACAATTCCGCTTTCACACATGAATCGTCAAACGGGATTCCTTTTTCGCGCAACTATTGCTGCATGTCACTTTTTCGAGATCCCATAGTCGGTACACGTTCGGCTCGACGACTATGGTAGGAAGCATTATCCATGATGATCACAGAGTTGGGCTCAACTCGCTGAAACACCCCTTGAAACCAGCTCTCTAAGCAGCTGGCATTCAGTTCGTCATGGTAATCACCTCCTTTCTTAGAGACGGAAATCAAGTCACACTCTTCTGAAAAGCCACTATCGCTACCAATATGAGTTACGATCAATCTTTGACCTTTCCCTGACGGTCCACGAAGACCTGTTGACAAACCTTCAATGCTTGCTTGTCGGTTACTCACTACGTTTTTGTCTATCCAGGTTTTTTTAACTGTGTGACCTGCATTTACCCATGTCTCGTCCAAATAATAGATTTTTCTGCTTTGTCGCCTATATTCAATCGCGTAGGTATTTTCGACGCCAGGCGACTATTTCAGGTATCTCTATCAATACTCACTTCCGATTACGCGTTTCGTAACGGACATTAATTTCGTGCAGGGATTTCCTCATTACCTCGACGCTCATTTGGGGTATAATTTCATTTTCCTTGATCGCTGCTTGTACAGCCTTGAGGGTTGGTATCTCATTCCTAAAGAAGAATGAATGTACGGTTCGCCTTAACGCCATTTTGCTATCGTCATGCAATTTAACGGCCTTTCGTCCCTTCAAATTAAACTTTGGATCAGTAGTAGCTCCAGTTTTCTCCTTTTCATGCACCATCCTGCGAATGGTCCACTCTGGAACGCCTGTCATACTTTCACAACGCGCGCGTGCATCTCCCTGCGACATAGTTCTGTTCAGATAATTGAACACGTTGAGCACGATTTCTTTCGCGTCCCTCTTCAGTGCTTTACGAAGCCGTCTACTTGTTCCCTGGCTTTCAGTACTTCCACTTGTGCCATTTGTACTCTCCATGGTTAAGTATAACCAAAACAGTAACCACAGAAACCACATCAATAACAATCACACAACAATTCCTATAAAAACACACAATATGCGATCGCTCAACGAAACACGTTCCAATGCGTTGCCGACGCCTATGAGTCTGCCGGTCGAGGCGCGTCTTTGATTTCATTGGTTCTACCGGCGGAGAACAATCAGCCATTATTTCCATCTCTGTCTGTGCTGTTGACCACCGCAAAGCCACAGAAACGACATATGTCGTACGCTATACGGCTGTACTGGAAGGAAGCCGGGATCGAGCTCTGATCACGTGTTGATCACGCGTATGAGTCATTACAGTTTTAAATAGTTGTAGTATAGTACATCTCAACATAACGTGTTTCACATAATCTCCAAGTACTGCAAATTAGGACAAACAATTTGCCGCGATCCATAATACTTCTCAAACGAGACACTTGAGCCCGTATCGTCAGTCATCCCTACAATTGTAGGGCGCCTTTATGGCTTCCTTGATTGTCATAGTTTTCTACTTCTCCGTGTCAGCGCTCCATTTTGAGGTTATGTCACAAACATCTATTTGCATCAAATTGTGCTTGCTTTTGAGTTATATCATGTTTTATCAGCCTGAAATTCCCTACAATTTATAAAGAAGACATATCTTCACAATAGAAGAGCTCTGACGCTGACACGGGACAAGTGTAATCTAGAAATTTTTGAAGGAGAGAAAGGAGTATGACAATCAAGGAGGCCATAAATGCACCCTACAATTGTAGGGACGACTGACGATACGGGCCTTACACAGAGACCTTGACGTTTCGTACTTAAGGGATTATGCCAAGCTTCAGGCGCAGCGATGTTACAGTCAAGCGGAATCGCAGAGCAACCGTCTGTTGCATGACTCAGTAGATTGCACAGTGGAGCAAGTTCGTAAGCATCCACGGCTCGGACTGTGACCAAAGCGCGAACTTCTATTTGATCCAAAATTACACTCTAGCGTAACCTGAATCAAAATTTGTATTTAGTTCACCTCAAAATTAATCCGTGTACCAAGTTAAGAAGCCCAGGTGATTCCTCTAAAGCTGAGACTTCTGATTTTCTTTGCTCTTCCCATTTTTCTTCTCCTTCCCTCTCTTTTTTGCACTGACATGGTCTGGTATTTGGGCAACCAGGACTAACAGATTCGACTAAGGTACATTCAAAAGTAGCTAATGGGCAAAGATCCTTCGTATCGCTCAGACAAACATGACGACCGTACATGAGTGCAGTCAATCAAACTGGAAGTTTTCAAAATCTCTAAAGTGGTCCATCCAGACCTCATCTAGCAGCCTAAGCTAAGCATTACTTCATGCAGCGTTAGCACCTAGTAGCCAGGTGCTACTGAACTTGAACAAATAATCTTAATTATATAGACCAGCAGATCAACCATTATTTCTGGTGTGGCATCAGAAATAGAAGGAAAGAAGAAACGAGAAAAACCACCAAAATGACTCTTAAGGTTGAGATGGAACAAGTGTGTGGTCGTTCCCTTATTTACATTTTCACAGCTGGCGTACGAAATTAGAAACATCCTGTACGCAAGCATGCGACGCGACTAAATGCAAATATTTATAAATAGCCTCTCGTCAATTTGTTCTGTTTGTGTTATAATGGCAAGTACTTCAATTAATGCCAACTTTACATGTCTTTCTGTTTCTTGTTCAATACGATACGTCGTACACGTATAGCTTACGCCTGATTGAGAGTTAACATCACAGGTGATCTTAAGGGATTAATTATAACCAGATAGGCAGTAAGAAGTAAAAATTCGTCCGAACCGCGGACCGTACCACTACATAAAATACCTAGTTGCAACGAAAACGTGGACGGTACTCGGCTTTGATTTGCGAAAATCGTTCAACACCATGCAAACACACTCAACATGCACTTGCGCCCGCCCAACTTGTACGAGTGACTGTATAGGTATTCAAGCATTCCTTCATGTAAACAAGTCATAACTATGTGAGATACTGCTAAAATGGATAGCGCAACTTATGATATTTGTAATACTGTCACATTGACGAGTATACAAAAATTCAGTCAATAAACGTTTAACGTAAATTTGAACACTGAAATCGTTGTTAGGTTTCATTTTATTGCACATGTAACAAGAGTTGAGCTTATCTTCAATTTAATGATGTTAAACGTTTTTAACTAGGTACGTAATTCAAATAATGGGTCGGCCTATATCAGCAAAATGGGCCGATATTGCCAATATACGTAAGTTGGTCCCTAATTACAATACTTGCAAAGGCTTTGGTGGCTTCGATGTACGAAGATATCCGAACGTCTAGACCTACTTATTGGAATCACCAAATTTTCATGCATATCTTGCCAAAACTGTTTCTGAATTCAATTTTTTACGTATTGTACTAATCGACCGTGTGAGGGAAGAATTTCACTTAGTAAAGATATTCTTCGAACGGCTAATTCAAACGACATTTATGCAGAAACGGTTCTTTACCGATTTTATTACTACTGGCCTGTGTCAAAGTACGAATAATAACTCCCTCAAGTACGATTGTGGCCAGGGATTTGAGTTCGGCATCAACGTTGCTTCAGTTTCTTATGGTCACATTTTTGCCATTTCTATGAATCATTATCTCTTATGCAATGAAACAGTAAGAAAAATGTTATTCATAGTGAAAACCGCGGATTTACGACCATTTGAGCCGAAGTTTCAGAGATGGTGCTTAGGTTTTTGTTTTCAATATTCTTCAAGTTTCTTATATGATCAGTTTTCAAAACATTCAGTGTGCAGAAATCTGGAACACATATGTTTTGCTAGATGTTCTGATATTTGACAGAAACCTTTAAAGGGTTCGAGAAGAGTAAAAACTACACACAACACTACATGAATTATAGCAGTCTTTTGGCAACTTTCTCGACGACTCTCAATTTTTTTATTCAGCAGATCTTTTCATTTACTTCATTTTTTGTCTCCTATTACAACAAGCCGGCTCGGATAGTTTTCGAGAAAAAAATGAGTAAAAACTTACCAATAGTCCCATTCCAAACGTTAATTTTAAATTTCCATTGAAAATATCTCTCTAAGACTGCATGCGAATTTTCTTCAGTGTAAGCATGTTCGTCAAAAAAATATACCATATTTACGAGAAAAACAATCAACAATTAAAACTTAACAAAAAATAAATAATCTGATATAATTTCAAACTTATGAAGAACAAACAACAAATTAATTAAAATATAGTTTCTGTATGGGTGGGAATAGTTTTCACCCTTCTAGAACCCATTCGGGTCTTTTGTAGAACGTCCAGCAGAACATATGTGTTCCAAATTTTATTCAAATCGGTTAAAAAAATATCTGGAAAATGTGTCGTCCACTAACGAATAAAAAAGCACCTCTGGATAGATGTAAACGATGTCCAATCGACTTCTTCAGAAACTAAAAATACGTGGAACTTCTGGGTTCACGGAATACATCCTGTATAATGAATATCTGAAAATCATCAGAAATGTGTCAGATCGTTATAATATGAGCTACTAACTATAAGTTTCCAATCAATGGTAAAAAAAGTCAGAAAATCATATTAGTGTATGTTGTAAGCTCATACATTTTCCGACTTTATTAAGCTTGAACAACCTGTAACTTGAAAACTGTTCATATTATACTAGAGTGCAATGGAGATTTTTGATCAGATTAGTATTGAAAACAAAAAAATAGATAATTTGGCCGCGATACGCTATCCTCGTCGCTCCTCTATGTTTTCAGCCTTAGGAATGTGCTATTCCCGTTTTATTTTTTACGTAAGAGGTTGGAATTTTTATAACTTTACTAGAACACGTACAATTTAATAACCTTCCTGTGATTCTATAAACTTATACAGAAAACTTATTTTAGGTCAACTTTACCTCAAAATAACGGCATTCGAAGACGAGGATCTCGTGCAAAAAATGAAGAGCGACAAGTTTGACCCAACGATCAGCCTCAGACTAGAAGCTAGCTCGTCCACACTCAGGGCAACCGTGAACAAGTACAACATGCAACACATGAAGATTATGGTGAGGCTAATGTCGAGGAACCTTGTAGGAAAGAAGACGCTTCTGGGAAAAATTGAGATTGATCACAAGAGTGCCTTTTGGAAGGAAGTCGTGTCATCTCCGTCTACTCCTATAACCAAGATGGTGAATTTTGAGTGAAGGAATCGTGGATATAAACTCTAATGCTTCCCATGAAGACTAGATATAAGAGGTTAAACTTAAAGGAATACACCTGTTCGTATGAAGCCAATACTGGCGGTAAGGAGAGGGAGAGAAAGATGCCATATGCACAAGACCTAAAATTTACTTCAACTGCTATAGCGGATGCATTCTCGGCATTTTTTGCTTCACCTGCACTCAATAACTTTACCCTCATACATCTAATCTTCATGAGGCCCGTAATACGGCTCATTCGTAAAATCATTCGGACTTGTCAAATACGTCTAAATTTCTTGCCTTTTAGTGACTAATGAGTTTATAGTATAAGAAAAGTCTAATTTGGACAACAGCAAACATAACCAAAGCGGATACTACTGTTCAATTCTTAACGGTTTGCATCTATTCGTATAAATGCACAAAATATCCAAATGCAAGGACTTCACACATCTTCACATGAAATTGACCATTGTAAATGGACGTGAATGTGTGTGTAGTGAAGTTGCGAAGTAGTATTTTTATGCGAGCAATTGCCTTCTTTTTCGGACCATGGCGCATAGATTGTTGGGACCAATCTATACTGAACTAATCTCATTACCATCTTTTTATTTCGTCGTTATACTGGATCCTTGATTGTTAATAGATTAACATAAAGTATCATAAACTGTATCAAATGGCCTTGTTTGATTTTCTATTAATCCAATGTTGATTTTGATGAAGACTTGTTCTAGTTAATAGATATTACTATTTATACTCTATCGATACTACCATAAATGTATATATATACCATCTAGATCTATAACTAAATGCGTGTATATTGCAAACCACATGTATAGACTTTAACTTCTTTAATTTGTCCTTGCCCCTCTAATCCATACCGTAACTACTAATTTTCTACGAAAAACCCAATGTTTTGATTTTCATCGTCACCGTTCAAACGAAACTTGATGGAAACAAATTGACATAGTGACTGACATTTGTGTTCTCGGAAAAAATGGTTGTTGCATAACATCTTTTTTATACTAATTAGTTGATCAACTTTATGAATAACTTAACAATGTCGGTTACATTTTCAAAAGTGCACAAAGCAATCGAAAGCACAGTCTTATTGAAGTTATCCCTTTAAGATAACTGAAACAAATGTTTCTTATAAACCCAGAAGCACTGTGAATCCTTAGCTTGTATTTCTTTTTGGATTTTTTTAATGGTAGTGAATAATCTGAATGAACATTTAGTTTGAATATGCCCTCCATCTACTACTTCTGCATTGTCGTCATCCTTTCTGTTTACATCTCATTATCATTATAATAGGATAGTATCTGATCTATTACTGTATTATCATTATTATTTATTTTATTTATCTTAGAAAAGTCAATATACTCCGACAGACGGCTAAAGTATTAAATTATCTTAAATTATCCACTGATTATTATTTTTATCACTGATTCTCGTCCCAGCTGCCATTCCCTGACCACTTTACTCTTTATGGAAGAAACAGCTTCAGAACACTACCTGCAATCCAATCTTCCCACCGTGCTTTTCTTGGTCTAGACAAAAATCTCAGAGTCTGCACCGATTAACCATCTTAACTTCCCAAACTACGAGGTGCACTCCAATGTGAGAAAGAACGGGGGAGTTGTGGCTTTTGCCCGCAGCAGTCTTTCCTGCTCCAGAGATGTTGCTTTGGAATCAGACCGGAACGACATTCTGCGGCTTCGCCTCAACTCCAAAACTTCACCCAAATTTATTTGCTGCCTTTATCGCTCTCCCTCAGATCATAACTGGGATGACCTACTCGAATACCTCGCCGTCCAGATCGACTTACTGAACATCAATCATCTCGCTTCAGAGGTAGTTCTTCTCGGTTAATTCAATGCCCGTAATGAGCTTTGGTTGGGCTCAAATAAGCCCGATGCAGCAGGTCGTGCAGTCGAAGCGTTCGCTCTTACCCAAGGGCTGACTCAGCTGTGTTGTCTGCTGGATCTCTTTCTGACCACGCATCCCGTCCCTTAAAGCACTGCTGTCCTGTCCCCTCTGGGTAACTCAGACCACGGTGTTGTGGAGGTTAGGTTTCGGTCAGAACCCGCTGTGGCAACAGAAACTCGTACAGGCCGCAAAACTTGGCATTACGGACATGCCGACTGGGAGGGGCACAGGGACTTCTTCTCTAGCTTTCCTTGGAAAGATGTCTGTTTCACTGACCTGGATGCGTCGGCTGTCTGTTCTTCGATAACCGAAATTATCCACGTCGGAATGGAGGAATACATCCCTCACACAGTGAAAGTGCCTAGACCAATGGCTGGTTTAGCAAATCGTGTGACGCTGCTCGCCAGCAGAAGATCAAGGCACACAGAACCTTCTTACAAAACCCCACTGTAGAGAACAGACAAGCCGACGTTGAGTCCAGAAACAAGCAGCGGTTCGCAATGCCAAAAACCAGCACAATATAAAAGTTGGGCACAGGGTAGTAGTAGTTCTTATATAGTAGCCTTCCACCACTTACGTGTCAGGATGGAACTATTGTATTCAACTCAAAGGCCAAGGCGGAAGTGCTAGCCAAGATCTTTGCTGCCAACTCCACCATGCACATCCCCCCCAACGCCCAAGTGCCGTCAATTCAAAGGGTTCCCTACACTATGCGGGAGGTAACATTCAGGCATAAGACCGTAAGACGAGTGCTCTTGTCGCTCGACATCAACAAAGTTTCTGGTCCGGACTTGACTCCTGCCATTGTACTGAAGAGGTGTGCACCTGAGCTTGCTCTTTCGCGTCTCTTCCAGATATCTTATGAATCTGGCACCTTCCCAGAAAACTGGAAATTTGCTCATGTCCAACATATCCCAAAAAAGGGATCTAAGACCGACCCTTACAACTACAGGAATACAGCTCTGCATTGTTTTAAGTAAGGTGATGGAGAGGTGCATGAATCGTGAGCTTCTGGACTACCTCGAACGCCACGGCTTGATTAGCGACAGGCAGTATGGTTTCCGGCACCAAAGATCCACAGGGGACCTCCTAGCTTACGTCACTCAATTGTGGAGTAAACTCATCCAGTCATATGGTGAGGCTCATGTCGATCAGCTGTGGCACGCTGCCCTCTTAAGCAAACTTCCATCATATGGCCTACCGGAAAAGCTTTGCAGATGGGTGGCTGACTTTATCTCTGGCCGCAAGATATCCGTCGTAATTGACGGGTTCTCCTCTTCATCCCACCACGTCAACGCGGGAGTTCCCCAGGGATCGGTCTTGGCTCCGACAATGTTTCTCTTACATATCAACGACCTTCTTTCCTGCACGATCAACCAAATCCACAGCTTCGCTGATGACAGCACTCTACATGCAGGAATTCAGAGTGACAAGCCGATCTCTGCCGCTGAGTTGGAAAAAAGAAGACTAGAGATGGCTTCCTCTCTGACAAGAGACCTGGAGGCATGACTGCTTGGGGACGCAACAATCTTGTACAGTTCAATGCTTCCAAAACGCAGTACTGTACTTTGACGAACAAAAAGCGTCCCTGCGCTCACTCGGTTTCGATGGATCCGAGGACCTGATCTGGCACGAACACATCTCGTCAATAGCTGCAGCCGCTGGGAAAAAGCTAGGCTATTTGCTTATAAGTACTTTTCTCCGCATGACCTTCTCACTCTATACAAGGCCCAGATATGGCCTAGCCTCGAGTATTGCTCACACGTTTGGGGTGCTGGCTCCCCGACTACATTATGCATGCTCGATGCTGTCCAGAGGAGGGCGGTCCGACTGATCGGTGACTCTTCTCTAACAGACAGTCTCGAGACTCTTTCGCACCGGCGGGCTGTCGGCGACCTAGCTCTTTTCTACCGTTATACCAACGGGCTTTGCTTCTCAGAGCTCTCTTCCATGATGCCGCCGCGCGATGTGCCTGCCAGACAGACCCGCCTGACTTTGGCGTCCCATCCTAACCGTGTCAAACTTCGTACATCCAGAACCGGCCGATACGACCGCTCCTTTGTCCCGAGGGCGTCGAGATTGTGGAACAGTCTACAAGAGGAAGCTTTTCCCAGTTCTATTAACCATAGGCAGTTCAAAAATTATTATTAAGTATTAATAAAATGTCTTTGGGATCATCATAGCAGCCGCGGTGTTCCGGCATTTAGGCTTCTGTTTGCGCGGCTGCTTCGATATAAGAAAATGGTTCCAGGATCCACTAATACTATGTAGTTTGACTCAAAAGTACATATACTGTTATCGATAGCGTAGACATCATTTTTTTCAGAAAGAGAGAGACCAACTTTCTACGTTAGATCAAAGTGCATCTCATTCTTAATTGTCTATCGGCTAGTACCCAAGCTAGAGGGTAAAACCTTCATCTAAATATACTAAGTGACATATAAATCCGAACACCCAGTTTAAATGGTTTTATTTTAATAAAATTTTGTATAAGTACTTAATGAAGCATAATAAGTAAATGATAAAAAGTTCAAAATGATTGCACTGCTTTAAAGCCCTTTGACCTTTAATAATGTGTGGATGCACCCTGATGTGCTACGTATTCTCCAACGCGCCTAGGCATGCTTCTGATCAGGTGGTCAATGTCCTCCTGTGGTATCTCATTCCAGGCAACCACCAACTCCTCTCGAAGTGCTTCTAGAGTCTGAGAAGGACGTTGCAAATTTAGCAATCTCCTACCCATCATATCCCACACGTGCTCAATTGGGGATAAGTCGGGAGATCTTGGTGGCCATGGTAACAATGTGATATGATTATGTTGAAAGAAGTCTATTGTGACTCTTGCAACATGTGGTCGGGCATTATCTTGTTGGAAAGTTGGATCTGCGAGGGTGTCAAGATAGGGTAAAAGATGTGGTTCTAGAACTTCGTGGATATAACGCTGCGCGTTCATGTTACCTCTGATGAAGATTAAAGGTGACCTGGAACCATAAGCTATAGCACCCCAAACCATAACTCCAAAAGTGTGATGAACATGTCTTTCAACAAAAAACTGTGGATTCCTCCTCTCACCACGTCGCCTTCTAACCCTGGCACGACCATCGTGCATGCCTAAACAAAATCGAGACTCGTCACTAAAGACAATACTGTTCCATTCCTGATCCCAGAGTGACCGTTGTCTGCACCACTCAAGGCGATTACGTCGGTGTTCTCGAGTTAAAGGGAGGACCCAGTGTAGCCGGTATGAAAACAAGCCAAAACTTCTCATTCGTCGGTAAACACTTCGCATGCCAATAGGTCTTCCGTGTTCTGCAAACCATTCATTTGCAATAGACCTGGTAGTGGAGAAACGGTCCCTTAAGGCCAATAATCTTAGGCGGCGATCTTCACGGTCTGTTGTTGTACGGCGGCGTCCAGTGCCCCTTGCTCTTTGCGTACGGCCTTCTCGAAGCCATGCCTGACAACACCCAACCACACACTTCTTTGCACTCTAACTGCAATTGCCCGAAAAGAAAGTCCAGCTTCCCGAAGTCCCACTATACGGCCCCTATCAAACTCACTAAGTTGACGAAATCGTACAGGTCTCCGTACTCTAGGCATCGTAACCGATCGTAAAGGATGTCAAGAACCAAAATCCGCCAACGTTGATTGTTTACTGCGGCTGAAATATTCATTTTTAGAGCGTTATTGAATTAAAAAAAAGCAATATAAAAACCGGAATGTCCAACTGATAAGGCTGAAAATTTTTTCACTTGTTATTTACAGTAAGATAAATACATTCACCAACTTTTATTAAAATAAAACCATTTAAACTGGGTGTTCGGATTTATATGTCACTTAGTATATGCTGCCTTCGTCGGTCCGATCTCAGACAGCCAAGCATGGACAACTGTCATGTGCTTTTTGACTGCTCATCAGCATGTCCTAGGCTTGGTTTCTGGGACAACGAGCGAACACCTAGCAATACGTTTGTTCGGGTTAGGACAAAAAACGATCAGCTTTTCAACCATATCGATAAAGCGGTTTTTGTGATATCCTCTGTTCTTGCAAAAAAGTAAGTGACAACAACTTCCATTTGATCATCGCACAATATGTTGTGAAGAAGCGATTTATTCTGTTCGTTATGCCTAAAGTAAGACGAGAAACTTTTCGAGTTTGTTAGGGGGCGAATAGTGTGCTTGTGTGAGTCTGGCTAGTCCTGGCCACAAGTCTTGAATACGGTGGTGGTTGGTTGTCAAGTATGGAATCAGGAAGGCCGTACACGAAGAGTAAGAGACTCCGGGCGTGTCAGAAGAACAGCCTCGCACCAATATCGCCTCCTAAGGCTTTTGGCTCTTAGAAAATAAGACAGCTAAAGGGATCAGAATCGACCATTGCAAGAGTGTATTGCCGCTTTCGTCTTATTTGGATAAAAAATCTTCATGTTTTGCACCCAGGGAATCGTAGATAAAGAATGAGCAGCAGGTACACAGGGTGAATGGTGATTCGCTGTACCTTTTCCAGTGCGTAATAGGGGGCCCAAAATTTCACCATATATAAATATGTAACAATAGATTTCGTGATCCTTCATTGTTTGTGATTTTACAACTGCTACCCCAACTGGGCATTTGAGGCTAAAGAATAGAAAATAAGTCTGAGTAATGTAAATAGAGCAATTGATTGAGCTACAAATAATGCTACACGAAATGCAGAACGGCTCTATAAGCCCGCGCACAAGCTTGCTTCTGTAGATTTCCTGTTTGTTTACCATTCCTGATCTGTACACGCTTTCATATCCATATCACCACATTAATATTATTTTATGGTAAACAATCTTAAAATAAGTGGTTTCTGTTTACAGTTTTCCTTAGAACAAAACTGTGTCTAGCTCAATGATTTTGAGTTCATTAAACGTACAAACTGCTACAGATACTTGCCTGTATTGACAGGTTTCCAAAAAGGTATAAAGCATCAGTATCTAAACGTTTTATTCTTGACGTTTAATCAATCAAATTGATCAAATAATAGTCCATTAACTAAATGATATTTTCGATAACTATTTCAAATGGATGCATTATTTTTTTGTAAATCTTGCTCAATACTAACGTCAGCAAATTGACTGCATTAATTTTCAAGGTCCTACTTCTGTCACGTTTGAGATAAAAAGGGTCCTCTGTCCTCTAGTATTTCCTATACACTAAAGAACTTTCTCCAGTGCAATGTAGCCTGATTGGCGTCGTGTTACTTGTGTCCGATATATAGCTACTTTGTAACCTCAAAGACGTAGAACATTTTGCGATGTTGAAAGGATGTTAACATTTTCGGTGTGTCTTAACTGCGACTACAAACTGACAGATTGTTTATCATATGCAGACATTCTTAGAACAGTCGAATACAGAATATTCCTACATTTTATATGAACATATGCCTGCAATGGCTCCACTTTTTCCAACAGGCTGTTGAATCTTTAAGAAAAGGATCATTTTTATTTTTTTCTCGAAAATAATATTTTCAATTTTAGTATATTTGAAGAGCTTGCAAAACAAAATATTTTAGTATAAAAGTTATTCTATTGAGCCGCCAGTGGCATACCTGCAGACCTTTTACAAAAAAAAAATAGCAACGCCTTTATATTTGGTAGGTGGAGATCGTCAAATTTTTCGCTCACGTCAGCAAAGTGTACCTACTCTTTCAAGTAATCATACCAACTTGTTTGCTTACCGTTCATTTGTCTCCAGGACTGATAGACCTTTACGCACTGATGAATTGCTAATGAGAACAAAACAGCACTATCTGCGGTTGGTCGTGGTTACAGAGACGGAAGACAGACATGTCCATTTCAAACTGATATTTTTTAAGGTGAATGAAGTATTAGCACATTATTAAGTAACACCCTGTATATCTTTGTCCGCCTTCGGATCTATACTTTATCTGAAGTCACTTGAAACACTGTGACATACCGGGTGCGTTTTATATATCTATATTTAACACGCTCTGTTGCTGCAAAAATCGCCAAATTTCGCAGCAAATATCCCCCGTATAAGATCAAAGGCAGTTTCACCGGTCCACGTGGAGTAAAGCACGCCTATGCGTGGACATAGCCAATGAGAAAGCGTGTATTTCAGAGCTCCGAACAAGTTCAGATGGCTACTGAATATTGAAACAGTTTAGCCAGTACCGTGTAGCGGTGAATAAACGTGTTTTCTTTAGTCTGTGCGTGTTTTTTCATAGATTTTATTAGTTTGTGTGTTTTTGACTTTTGAATACTCAGTTTACTTGTTGATTTAATTGTTCTTGTGTGTCCTAAATATGGCTCTTTGGAGACCTTGGGAAAATGCTCCAAGCCACGAGGAGATGGTTGATGAACCTGTGCAGGCAGAATTCTTTCATAAAGATTTAGAGGAACAGACCCAAAGAGTAATCCTAAATATGTATGATTGTCTGAAAAACTAAAATCCAGATTCCTCGCAAAATCAAATTTTAAACAGAATTTGTATCCTGACAAAAATCAGTCGGCCTACCATTTATCGGGTTATAAAAAGGGGAGATGTAGTCAACCATTCCTTCCACAGAAAGCGCATAGGGCAAAAATTAAAAAGAATAGACGTGGGTTTTCAGGAAGACATTCGTCGTATAATATACGGATTTTATAAGGAAAATCTGGTGCCCACGTTGGAAATGATACGGGATATATTAAAAGATTATCCTGAAGATTTTTATAATTACAAATGCTTAGACTCACTGCACTGTATTGTAAAACTGTGTGGTTTTCAATACAAAAAATTAGATAAAAGAATGGTGATTATGGAGTCGTCTCGAATTGTTGAATTACGCCAAGAATTTTTGCACAAAGTTAAAATCTATAGAGAGCAGAAAAGAAATCTGATTTACCTGGATGAAACGTGGTATGATACCCATGATGTTGTGCAGTACGGCTGGGTTGACGACAGCAACAAGTGCATTTTAAATGCACCATGCAACCGTGGAAAACGAATCATTATTCTCCATGCTGGCAGTGAAAATGGATTTATACCTAATGCCTTGCTGTTATCTGCCAAAAATATCAAAGAATCATGTGCCGACTATCATGAGGACATGACCTCCGACTTATTTGAAAAGTGGATAGAGCAGCAGTTAATACCAAACATTTCCCCAAATTCAGTGATTATTATGGACAATGCGCCATACCATTCCCGACAGAAAAACAAAATTCCGAATACAGGCACAAAAAAACAAGACATTATTGATTTTATGAAGGATAAGGGAATGGAAATACCACAAAAATCAACCAAAGCCATATTATTGGATCCTATTAAAAGACAAAAATTTGAAAAAGAGTATGTTGTTGACAATCTGCTTCAGCAAAATGGCCATGAAGTATTACGTCTACCTCCCTATTACTGCATTTTTAACCCGATTGAGTTGGTCTGGGCTGCTTTAAAAAAAAAAGTAAGAAAACATAATCAGACCCCTCAATTAAGTGAATCGCTATTGGCCACAATAAGAGATGCAGTATCTCATATTGCTGCCACAGACCTATGGAAGCAGTGTTCTAGGCATATTATTGAAAAAGAAAATGAATATTGTGTTTTGCCTCCTGTAAATCCCGTTGTAATTCCTCTACAAGATGACTCTAGCGACAGCTCCGAAGGCGAGGATGATATATAAATGCCTATAATGTAAGTCTTTATATACCTTTTTATATACCTACCTGCTATGTTAATATTTGCCTATGTCAAACGTTGGAATTCTGTAATTTTTCCATTTTTTAACTTTCTGTCAACATAAATTAAACTCCCAATGTAAGTATTTTTTATCCCAAATCAAAAAAATAAGAAGATAGTAAAATCCATTTATTGTGATATAAAAACATTATTATTATCGTTCTAAATAAATGACCGCACGCCTGTGATACGTCATAAAATTACAAAGGACGCGCCGACCAAAGGTTTTTATGCTATTTCAAGTGACTTCAGATAAAGTATGCATCTACATAAGCAATTGCAAAATAATCTTCAATAACCTTATTACCTTTCTCACTTCCGTATGGAACCTAACCCAGCCTAAATTGTGCGAGCTGTGCGATCGTGTACGAAAGCTCGGCGTTCAACGCCACTCAACGTTCGCATCGGAAGGAAGTACCTACTTGTGTAAATGCCCAAACCAAGCCACCTCACCTAATTGTGAACTAGTACTAATGGAACAAAACATTGGGGAAAAGCAATATCCGTCCCTAGAAAATTTAACAAAAAAAATTAAGTATACCTCTTCTATTTCTCATAAACACAAGAACCGTGCGGGCTGGAATCACCCCGTAAGTCATCGCACGGGTCTTCTAGCCGGCTTAAAAGCGGCATTAACCATGCACGTTGCCGTACGACAGATCAAGTTTCGGTATTTTGAGTTCTTCGCAGTACCCGCGAACCCGCACACGCACAATCGGCAACACCGCGTCAGCGGATGCCAAGGCAAACCGTCTGCATGTCTACAAACTTCAGTTGTGTTTTCAACCAAATGCGGTACGCTGCATCAGATTTGCAAAACCTTAGAACAAAATTAATCATTTTTCTGAATGGAACCATGACAAAAACTTTGTGAAACTTCCATGTCACAGAGCTTACAAACAACTCGTGTTAAAGCTCTTTCCGTACAATGTAAATTTTCATGCTTTCTACTGCTCCAAAAATATCGTGTAAAGTGCGATGAATTTTAAAAACTCTGTGATTGAAAGCGTTCAGTGATTTAGTTATAAAATAAAACTATGAACAAGCTATCTCTTCTCCTACTGATGTCTTCGATTACGACAATGGATATAGCAGTTTCGTCTGCTAGACATGTAAGTTTTAACATACTTATTTATTTGACAGCTGACCGAATCCGAAAAAAAATTGGATTGTACCAGTACAAAAAGTGTGAGTTCAAAAAGTTTACAATAAACAAATATATAAGCTTCAAGTCTTTCCTGAATCATTCACTTTCAATACTTTGACACTATATGGTATATAAAAAATTCTGGACCTAGTCCTAGATATTTAATCCATATTCATCTATTATTTGCATGAAATTATGATATAAACTTTCGCGAATTGTTTAGACCACAAAGCTATCTCTTAAGGCTGACGTGTTATGTGCTTTTCTTCTTCTTTCAAATACAGCATCGATAATAAAATCCAGACTTCTCTGAAATTCAGTTATAGTATAAAACTACAAACAAGCTCCGTCTTCTTCTGCTGATGTCTTTTACTAAGGCGTTAAGCTTCTTCTGTTGATTAAATTCGCAAGATGAGTTTTCATCCATTTTATTATTTTTTAATAGAACAATATCAAAAACCTCGTAAAGTAACTTTTAAATCTGTGTTATTCAAATTTAGCCTTTATCACATAAAACTTCATCTAACTCCGCCTCTGAGCTTCATCTGCGAACTGATCAAATTCGCAAGGCTTTGAATCCAGTTTCACCCATTTTCTGAATCGAATCAATACAAAAACTTCCATACCAGAAAAGCTTAGTACTAACATGTAGACTGTCAAGTATTTCTTAAAACTCCGGCCTCGTGTAACAAAGTTGCAAAAAACGATTCACAACCATGCGTGAGTTTGATTTCGAGTCATGTCTGGCAATGTATACAAGTTTTCGGTAGGTAAACAAAAACAAAATTAAAAATTTTATTCCACACGTTACTACAAACATAATAGGTAGTAATCTTTACCCTCCAGGCTATCTTTGATTATAGGCCACCATTATAATAGAGCCCTGTCCAGCTATTTACGTCGAATTTATCGAAGTAAGCCAATACCCTAATTATCTTCTTAAGATAATAGTGATTATTATCTGCTGTGAACTTAATCTTTCTGACATTTCTCTGGTCCTGTAAAGGAAAGAAAGATTCGGATTGCACAGAGCAAATATATTGTTTAAGGATATTTTACCGACTACGGAATAATAATAAAAAAACCTGGTTTTGTTATTGTTGAAGCTAGTCAGTACGATGCGTACGCTTCTTCTTCAGCTTCTAAATAGGTCCAGCTCAAGTACCTTGAAAATCGCTGAACGTTTCTGCTAAACCATCCTGTACAGTTTCCATAGATTAAATGCCCTGAGTCGACTTTTTAAAAATGCGGTAGAAGATGCGGTTTTTAAACACCTGGCAGCAATGTCAAGGTCAGTAATTACATTTGTTGGCTGAAATAATCTTTCGGGTCCAACTTAAACGGTTGGATTTAGTTACCTGCCTTAAATGCATCATTAGTGTATACGGGGGGTGGAGAACTTCTTGTAGGCTAAGGCAATCGTACTATTTCATAAGAAAATTGCTTTTCTTGGAAACGCTTGATATCTACCAACTAACAACTGATTTTCATGTACGAAAGCTCCTCTTCTGGATACAAATAAAATTGTTAACTAACTTTTTCAAAGTAGCTCATTGACATGCCTGATGGTTATCTCTTTCATTTAAGGAAGACAAAAAAAGACACATACTGAACTGTAAACCGACCAACTCAATACTCTGAGTAATAGTTAGCTTCGCTCTAGGTGGCAAAAAGAACATAAAAATAACAAAAATCAACCCCCAAGTCAACCGTCAAGTTTTATTAAGGTTAACGATCCCAAAATGCAATTTGACTGGGAAGATGGTCATGTTCATCAGAAACTTATCCTATGGATGTCTTGCTGTTCAATCTCCATACTCTGCTTGTCGCTTAATAAAGCCACAGGTGTTGAAATGAAAGGATACTGACGTTTGGACCACCTCGGTGGCTTCGTCAAAGTACAATCAAAATTAATTTCCTGCGGGCTTAAAACTTCGGTCTTATATCAGTACTGCTATGAATCTTTTGTTTTGTCTACTCAAGGTTCCAGGAGACCTTATATATTGTGGTTTAGATCGTTTCTAGTAGTAGGGCACTTATTCTAATAATCACCTGATTAATGCGTGAGAAGATGGACTGGATGAGCATTTCGCAGGGGAGAGATATTGACCATTCAAAATATCAGCCACGCGCAATAACCTAATGTGTCATACTAATAATGCATACCTGTTGACGTACTTTACGCTCAAGCAACAAAATGGTTCTAGACACTTCAGTGTAGATGTTTAGTGGAAGACGCATCACAATATCCCACATATCATAGATCTCCCGGTAAATGTCCCTAAACCTTAGAACGATAGACAAATGCTTTTCGATATGTGTCCCTACTTCTGCTCTTTGCATTTACCGGCGGGCGTGCTGGTCTCCAAAAGTGTCTTGGCATGACTGGCGCTGTACCGCGGTGCCGCGTCTGACACGTGGTGCGAACAGGTATCGGAGAGAGGAGCTATTGCCAGATAGACAGCGAAAGAGTGTCGATGGACTAATTGTGTGGTGTGTTTGGCTGCCTTGATCAGTTTACTTTCTCTGTTATACATGTTCTCAGAGGGTCTTTATTCAACATGCTGCTTTCATCCGTCCGACCAAAGACAGCCAATCTTGGAAAGATGCTTCGTGCTTTTTTGGCAACTCATCAGGATTGAAAAACTATCAACAAATTCGAAATATCGTGGGTGGGAGACTCTACCCACGTAGGAGCGGGAATCCATGTGCTCTTATGTCAAAAAAAAAACTCCCGGACGTTCATTAACATAGTCCACCAGGAAGATTCCCAATTCCCCTAAAAGCCGTGCCTACGCGAAGATGAAGATGTGTCACAATGCTTACAACTGTATATTTGTCAACCAATGTCTTTCAACGCCAACGTTGCCATTCCTCAGACCCAATCAGCAGGTTCTGGGATTTCCGTATGTATACTAAGTGACATATAAATCCAAACACCCAGTTTAAATGGTTTTATTTTAATAAAGGATGGTGAATGTATTTATCTTACTGTAAATAACAAGTGAAAAAATTTTCAGCCTTATCAGTTGGACATTCCGGTTTTTATACTGCTTTTTTTTAATTCACTAACGCCCTAAAAATGAATATTTCAGCCGCAGTAAAGAATCAACGTTGGCGGATTTTGGTTCTTGACATCCTTTACGATCGGTTACGATCCCTAGAGTACGGAGACCTGTACGATTTCGTCAACTTAGTGAGTTTGATAAGGGCCGTATAGTGGGACTTCGGGAAGCTGAACCTTATTTTAGGGCAATTGCAGTTACAGTGCAAAGAAGTGTAGACACTGTGGTTAGGTGTTGTCAGGCATGGCTTCGAGAAGGCCATACGCAAAGAGCAAGGGGCACTGGACGCCGCCGTAGAACAACAGACCGTGAAGATCATCGTTTAAGATTATTGGCCTTAAGGGACCGTTTCTTCACTACCAGGTCCATAGCAAATGGATGGTTTGCAGAACACGGAAGACCTATTGGCATGCGAAGTGTTTACCGACGAATGAAAAGTTTTGGCTTGTTTTCATACCGGCCACACTGGGTCCTCCCTTTAACTCGAGAACACCGACGTAATCGCCTTGAGTGGTGCAGACAACGGTCACTCTGGGATCAGGAATGGAACAGTATTGTCTTTAGTGACGAGTCTCGATTTTGTCTAGGCATGCACGATGGTCGTGCCAGGGTTAGAAGGCGACATGGTGAAAGGAGGAATCCACAGTTTTTTGTTGAAAGACATGTTCATCACACTGTTGGAGTTATGGTTTGGGGTGCTATATCTTATGGTTCCAGGTCACCTTTAATCTTCATCAGAGGTAACATGAACGCGCAGCGTTATATCCACGAAGTTCTAGAACCCCATCTTTTACCCTATCTTGACACCCTGGCAGATCCAACTTTCCGACAAGATAATGCCCGACCACAGAGTCACAATAGACTTCTTTCAACATAATGATGTCACATTGTTACCATGGCCACCAAGATCTCCCGACTTATCCCCAATTGAGCACGTGTGGGATATGATGGGTAGGAGATTGCTCAATTTGCAACGTCCTCCTCAGACTCTAGAAGCACTTCGAGAGGAGTTGGTGGTTGCTTGGAATGAGATACCACAGGAGGACATTGACCACCTGATCAGAAGCATGCCTAGGCGCGTTGGAGAATGCGTAGCACATCAGGGTGCATCCACACATTATTAAAGGTCAAAGGGCTTTAAAGCAGTGCAATCATTTTGAATTTTTTATCATTTACTTATTATGCTTCATTAAGTACTTATACAATATTTTATTAAAATAAGACCATTTAAACTGGGTGTTCGGATTTATATTTCACTTAGTATATCTGACTTACAGTTACAAGGAAGGGGTTATCTATCGTTGAAAGGTTGAGGCCTGAGTTTATTTTCATTACTTCTTGAGGAACTACTGCGATTCTATTTGGCGGTATCGCTGTTATGATGGAGATTGTTCGTGAACGTCAAAGTGCAGCATAGGGTCTTCTTGAAAAATACCTTAATTAGTGGTGAGAAGTTCCGAGTCAGACCACCAGACTGAATTTTTCGTGTTTACAAATTATATTATGTGCTTATGCGAAAAAAAAAATGCAAATGGTAATATTTTCATTTACTAAGTGCTCTATTTTCTATTCCATTAAACCTTGACCCGTAAGATTTTATTATTCAATATGTGTACGCTTTGCATCCTCCTCCACAGAACTAGGTGTGAAACTATGCGTAAAATTGACGGAGCAGGAATTTGTTTTGCAATTGCAGAATAATAGGTCATTTCGAGAGGCTTAACTGAAGCATGCTTGTATACATTTACATTTATTATCTAGGTTGGTGCAGCAAATGCATATGTGATATGTGACACCAAAAGTTGCAGCCAGATGCTGCGATTGTATACAAAAACCTCTGGGACCACATTGCTTTCAATGTTATGCAGATTTTTATTGCGTATTATGCAATACTGCGATT